TCAGTAGAATGTGGAAATTGAATCAAAGAAATAAATGGATAGATATACAATAAGAAGAAAAATTACCTTTATTTTTGTAATAATAACCGTAATGCTGCAAATAGTAGACATCAGAAACTTGAAAGGTTTTAAATAAACAATAAATTATCATTTTACCATGTTCTTTAATATCCCTTATTCTTAAATGTTCATTCAGCAAGGACTAGATTTCAAGATTTCTGCCTTTGATTATTATATGTGGTTGGAACGCAATTTTGTAACTTACTGATGGGAAATCAGTTTTAATCATTCATTCTATGTTTTCTTTCGAACAATAATGAAAATATAAGTAATGATCCTTTTTTTATACATTTTAACTTCACGCTATTATTAAATGGTATTTTTTTATTTTGACAGAATAGACTAATTCTTCAATGAAAACTTATTAGACTTAGGCAACTTCTCATACATTTTCCAGTAAATACTGTTGCCTGCCTATATTTTATTATTGATTTTTATCGATTATACATAATTTTCTTTAATTTAAGCGATAAAAATATATAATAATAATAAATTAATGTTTTACTTGTTTTACAAATCCATATACTTTTATTAAAACTGCCATATATACTTTTTAATTACGAATTCTATTAAAAGTTGCATTTGTCAGTTTACGCAGAAATAGTCCATTAGTATCAAAACGAATTGGCGCTGCTGTCGCGCACGGAGCGAATATGAAAATAAACTGTTCTCTTAGGGACAAAAACAAAATTTTTGAGTCTGACACTTATTTTCCCAGTCATAATTATTTTACATTTACTAAACTAGAACATAAAGCTTATAAAAATAGCAGTTTGGATTATCTTAGATAGTAGAAAGTGAGTGTGGCAGAAAATTAAGCATATAAAATTGATACAATTATGAATAATAATAAGTCTGGCTGATTTACGAAATTGGCTAATGAGTCTGGCAACATCTTCTAAATCGAAAAAATATAATATTTTTGCTTTTATTTTACCGGGTTTGAAATATTGTCACGTGATAGATTAAATTATAATTTTACACCTCTATTTTATAGTCAATCAAATGCTGTTATTTTAAAACGCTTCCATGACAACCAAAAAAATTTCCGGAAATTTTTCTTTTGGTGGGTACCCTGAACGAAATTATACCTAAAATTTTTTTTGACAGTTGAGCAGCTCTTTCATGCATATAATATTACGACGCAACGCGATAGTGTGATTAAAAAATTTGCCATTTCAGTGGTTAATATTTTATTTAATACCAATTATAACTAGGTAGAAATACAGTACATTTATTTTAATAATAATTAGGTTTTTCGCGTCAACTAAACGACTTTAAATATGGCAAATGGTCATGGTATGGCCACAGCATATAAAACATATGTTTTTTATTCTGTGGTATGGCCACCTTTGAAAATTTGATTTTAGTCGTTTTAATGCATATCTGTAAAGTTTTTAAATTTGTATTTTTTGGTGTAAAACTTTCTTACCCAATACCACACGTGCCTAAATTATTATCAGAAATTTTTTGCCCACTTTTGTATGATCGAAGGAGTGGTTACGGTTTCGGCCAACTTTGGCTTTAAATAAGAGTTTCGACTACAGTTTCGGTTTCGGCGGAAAACTGGCCGAAATTGCAGCCGACAACGAAACTACTTTTAAAAGTTTTCGTATCATAATTGGTTGTGTCCGGCACAATGGCGACTGTGCCGGGTGCCATTCCTACACAGTGCACGTACACACAAACTTATCTGCTTTGTTTCAAGTGAATAAATTTATTAATGGCTTCTTTTGATCACATAAATAAATAGGTAATAAGTAAATGTAGCTAAAATTTATAATACGAGTTAATTAGTCTAAAACAAGGATTACAATAAGATATTGCAAATTTCAATAAGAGATTGCCTTAAAAGAAAGTTCTTGTTTCTGTTTCGGTTTCGGTCGAAACTAAGAAAGGAGCCGAAATTTGGTTTCTGTTTCGGTTATAAAACCGTATTTCGGGATGTTCCACATAAGCCAGATTGTATTTTAAGCTGTTATCATAACATACATTTGTCTAGTAGTGATAGCACTTGGGCATTGCCAACTAAAAGGACACCTTAGTAAACTGAGAGTAGTAGAAGCTAGTTACTGCAGATTCTGTAAGGAGGAGGAAGAAACATTCATTCAAATTCTAACTGAATGTGTAGCACTCCAGAATCCAAAGTCACTATACCTAACTTGAAGCCACTCCTAATCCTACATTTCCTTGAGAAGATATAACTGGAAGGGTCATTATTCGCGATTCAAGCTAAGTGATACGCCCTCTGGAGGAAATTTGTAGAAGGTCCCTATAAGTAAGATATCGTTCAGTGTTGCCAAAACTAGCAAAATTTCGCTACGTCGTCGGATTTTAGCTCTTGAAGAAGTGGACAAGATCTTTCATTTAAGAATCAAAATTTGTGTATAATAATATGTAATCATACTGTATATTTATTTAAGGATTTTTTTATAAAACCGATTTATTATATTGATTTTTTAAATTTCAGTTCATTTATTAATTTTGTATTAAAATCAGTTCATCATTTGGCAACATTGGCGTTTATTGTTTACCTACATTTTAATTTGTATCAATTACAATTCGAGTTTTTTTTACTTTTTAGCTTTAAATTTGTTTATTTCTTATAGTATGTGATAGTGTTTATATTAAAAATTAAATCTTGCGAAAAAGTCCCCAGCAAATTGCAATCTATATTGTGTTAATGTCAAAATCAAAACTGAAGTATATATTATTTTCCAAATGCAAGTCGTAAAATTTTGTTTTTTACCATAAATGGATATCTACAAATTCACAATATTAAAATTTTGCAAAACTTTGTTTAGAATCGAAACTGTAATCTGATTTGTGACGGTTTTAATACCATTTACATGTATACAAAGTACTACTTAATTCACTTCATAATATAAGAATAAGTCTAGTAAGATAAAATTTCAACAATATTAAACGTTTGGTACCTGAAATGTCCTTTAAACCACATAATAAAACATGTCCTGGGTTTAGTAAATACGTATTTCTAGATATTCTTGTAGCAACCAATAGGTGAATATTTCCAACAAATTAAGTCATACACATAAAAATTAACATTAAATGAAACTCAAAAACACTATTACAATGAGAATATTATCTAAAAACAGTTTAAAAAAATCACAAATACAAAATCCGCCCAAAACAAACACATGTAAATAAACAAACATCCTACTTATAGGTGACAAATGACGCGCGCGAAAATTAATTTGAATCGCGAATAGGCATTGAGACATTTCCTTGCTGCATTAGCGACAGAAGGGGGTATAATAAATCTTTTAGGTCGCAGTGTATTAACACCCCATTCCCAAAATAACATAACATAGTGAGAACACTGCAAAAAAATGAAATCCATCAATTACAGTTCATATTTTTTATTTTTTAATCATTAAGATTACATATACGTTAAAATTAGATATTTTTGTTTAGAATCGATAAAAAATAGCATTTTTATTTTTATTTGGGCCACATTTAAAAAAAAATAAATTTTAATAAAATTGTATGAAACTAATTTAATTACGAGTATTAAAACTAAAAACCTAAAAATGACGGTGGAGCTGAGGACAGAGCATCTGCCTTCCACGCGAATAGTCTGGATCCGAATCTGGACTAGGGGCTAATTTTTTTTATGTTTATTTTATTTTATGAATTAATAAAATTCATAAATTATTTTAAAATTAGTTATTTTGTCTAAACCTAAACTATTTTTTTCAATTTGTAAATTTTCGTTAGTGGTTCGTAGAAAAAATATACTGTTTAACTCGAGTGGATTGTCCATATCTACTCTTGTTGCACAAACTATTATTTCATGACTGCGAAAATGAGGAAAATTTTTGTGATGAAAATTTTTCACTTAATACAACTATATATTATATATTTTATCCATTTTCATAGATTTGCCAGAATTTTTTTACTTAACTTCAGTATACCTCTAGAACTATTATATATTATATGACTTGGGCTAGGGCTTTAGCCCCCCCAGATCTGATGACATAACTTCGCCCATGATTTTGAAAAGTAAAAATTAGACGGTTATTTTTCAACCAAAAAGGGTGAAAAATATTAAAATATTACTTCATTACTTCTAAAAAAACTGTATTACTTTTTTGTTTTATCTACTTGTTTTCAATATTATAATATACATAATAATAGAAATACATTGTTAAATACTTTAACAATGTATTTCCTAATTAAAATTTTAATAATGAAAATTATAAAAGAAATAATATTATTGATTGATTCGTTACATTGTTAATGAAAATGTTATGATCACAAGTTTTGTAATAAATACCATAATAGGTATTTGATGACATCACTATCGATAAAAATATACCTAACTCCCATAAATTATTAATTTAGAATTTCAAGAAAAATTAATCCTATTTTAAACTTAGGTTCGCCAATACATACCTATAGCGTTGCTAAGAATTTGGTACCAAATTTTTTCTCCCTTCTTGCATCTCAATACGTTCTTCATGAAAATATCGACACATATGGCCTTACCGAACAGTTTTTTGTTCAAATTAACGTACCTCCACATTTACGAAAATTTTCGTTTGGTTTTGAGTACCGCACTCTGAATAAGCTAAAAAAATAATGGCTGGCGAAAATGATTCAACTGGTACCTATTTCGAGTAGTTTTCATAATAAGCAGGTACGGTTTGCCCCAAGCGGCACTTCATCTGGTACACTGTTTTTTTAGTTATTTTAGCTTGACAGATGTCTAGAAGGGATCAGTGAATAAATAGTTATTTAGTCAATGAAAAAAGTTTATTTGGGGCAAAATTTATTAAAATTAGCAAGCCATCTTCAAATCAAAATCAAATCTACACTTATATAAAGGATTGTAAATTATATATTAATATGTATCAGTTGACAAATCAAAAAACTAGAACTGAAAAATAAAAATGGTTTAAAAACGGCAACGAATAAGGATGCCTTACATGGATAATGAGAAAATAGTTATAGATGATGTATTAGATAGACAAAATTATATTAAAACTATAAAAACAAATTCCGAAAAAATGAGAGGAGAAAATAAAGCTTTCAAAGAAAATAAAGGAAATAATCAAAAACATGAACAAATATACTTAGCAACTTGGAATGTCAGCAGCACGTATGCAGAAGGAACGTTGATAAGATTAACACAAATTATGGACAATTACTTAATAGATTTAATAGCGGTACAAGAAACAAAACAATCAGAAAACCTTATATTAAAGTAGGTGAATATATATTTTTCAATAGCGTAACAGATGATAGGATGTTTGGAACAGGGTTTTTAGTAAAAAACAACTTAAAAACAGATGTAATAGAGTTTACTCCAGTGACAAACAGAATTTGCAAAATAAGGATAAGAAGCAAGTACAGAAAGATAAGCATTATCAATGTTCACTGCCTTACAGAAGATAAAGAAGAGGAAGAAAAAGAAGAGTTTTATGAACATATAGAACAAATTTATAACAAAATTCCAAGATACGATATCAAAATATTGATAGGAGATTTCAATGCAAAGATTGGGAAAGAAACAATTTATAAACCGACTATTGGAGGACACAGTAAACATAGTAAAAGTAATGGAAATGTGGGAAAAAACTTATGGAATTTGCAACAGAAAAGGACTTAAGAATAGCTACTACTTATTTTCAACATGCAGAAATATATAAAGGAACGTAGATCTCCCCTAATAAAAAACCTGCAACCAAATAGACCATATAGCCATTGAAAGTAAACACCTAAAATATATACTGGATGCAAGAAGTTATCGAGGAGTAGATATAGATACAGACCACATGCTAGTACGTGCCAAATTAAAATACAGGAAACCATCAAAAGAAGAAAAAGAGTGAAACATAGAATAAGGAAGAAGACATTAAAACTGAATTTCAGAAACAGATTAATAGAAATATTAGTGAAATAAATGAAAGCACGATAGAAGAAAAATGGAGAGAGTTCGAAAAAATATTGCATAAGGAACACAACTATTAAGTCAAGAGAAAGGCAAACCAACGAAGTCCTGGTTTGACGACGAATATAAAGAAATTATTCAAAAAAGAGGAAAAGCAGGAATGAAAATGTTATGTCAAAATACTGTAGCGTTTTAAAATAATTACTTTACATTAAACTTTTTTTATTCATACTTTTAAGGTAATTTCAATATAAGTTAGCCCTACTGCTTATGCAACATTCATTACTGAGATAAATTTTGATAAAAATCGAATCATCGTTGATTGGGGAACGTCAATATCTGACAAGTCAGGTAGAAGGCAAGACCTTTTTTTTGGGTTTTGGAGATTAACGTTGGTTAGCGTAAGTTACCAACTTGGGGTTTCCATTTTTGGTTAAACATCTTCGAGGATTAGCTGTAAACCAAATTCAACCTGGAAGCTGAGGAGACTTGGATAGCCGTGCTATCAGTTCTGATTTGTCCCTCATCCATGTCCTTGGTGCTATAGTCAACCCCGAGAAGCTGAGGAAACTTAAGTTGCTGTAAATTGAGATTCGTCCCTCGTCCCTGTCCTTGGCGCGATAGTCATCGGCCAACTTGAATCTCAAGAAGCGAGTCAAGCCGACAGCTAAGGCGATCTACGTGTCTGCGTCCATTTGTGGACTTGTACAGATAAGCCCCTAATACTTATTTGTTTAGTTATTTTTTTTTAGTCCGTCAATTCAGACAACGTTTTTAAATAGACATTTAAAGTAAATGCGTCTACCTACATAAAATAAATTTTAGTTGTAAGTGTCAATTGGCCTATCGAGACAAATTCCCTTGTATTAATTAGGTAGCGATATAGTCAAGACTTTCATTTTCCTGTTCTTATTTTATTTTTTTTTAAACTGTTGTTTAATAAATGTTAAATCATTGAGTTTTTATTTAGACTTTTTATGTAAAGACCTATCCAAATAATATATATTTGTACAGAGGATACCTAGTTCATAGAACTCCTAGGCTTCTCTGGATTCTAGGCCTGGAACTTTATATACTATAGAATCCAGTGGCGCCCTATAATCCATTTTTCTAAATTTAATCCTAACTATTTTTATTCATTCAAGCTTAAGTTTTTAACTCATTTAATTATCTAATTTCGAACCTGCGACGCTCTCCGACGAACAGCTCCGGCATATGTAGTTTTAATGCTACAATACAAACGAAAATGGAAGAGACTATGAAAATTTGAAAAGGAAGTTAAAAAAATATGCAGAAAAAAGAAAAGAAAATGTATAGGAAAACAAATTCACCAAATAGAAAATACGTACATTAAAAAACAAACTAGAGAATTTTACAAACACATAAAAAGAAATAAAAATAAGTGTCAACAGAATAAAATGATCTTCTGTAAACATAAACAAGGCCAGTTAGTGGGAGGAATACCTACAAGATAGTTTAAACAGATAGGCTGAGTACTTTAAAGAAGTCTTTGAAATATAAGAAAATAATGTGCCTGAAATGTATGTTGAAAATAATTTAGGAATAAACAATCAAGATGAACCACCAACAATAGATGAGATAAAAGAAATAATAAGGATGTTTAAAAATAATAATGCACCCGGAGAAAATGGGAAAACAGCGGAAATGTTGAAAATTGGAGGATATGAACTGAAAAACAACGTATACAACCTAATAAAGACAGTATGGGAAGAGAAAAATATGCCCATGAGATGGAAAGAATCATTAATTTGTCCTGTACATAAAAAAGGAGACATATCTGTGCAAATTATAGAGGAATAACTTTGATGGACACTGTGTATAAAATAATGGCCATAGCAATGAAGAATAGAATAAATTATGTCGTAGAAATAGGACAATATCAATGTGGTTTTAGAGAAAATAGATCAGTCATCGATCAGGTATTTATATTAAAACAATAGATAATAGTCTAGATCAAAACTTACCATTATATATGATTATCATCGATTTTAAACAAGCTTATGATAAGATAAAACGAGAAAAAATATATAGGGCGATGCAACAATTAGGAGTACAGGAAAACCTCATAAGATTATTAAAAATGACACTAACTGGAACAGATTATAAAGTGCTTGTTAATGGTCAAATATCAGACAAATTTAAAGTTAATAAAGGACTGAGACAGGGAGATCCACTATCCACGATATTATTTAACATAATTTTAAACTCTGCAGTAAGACAAAATGGAATTCAAACAAAAGGTACGATATATAATCAGAAAAGTCAATTGATGGCCTACGCAGATGATTTGGTAATCCTAGCAAGAACAAGAGAAAATTTAGTAATAACAACAAAGAAGTTAGAAAAAGCTGCAAAAGAAATGGAGTTAATAAAACAAAATTCATGTTAGTAGAAAAAATACCAGGAAATATACAGAATAGAGAATTAAGAACAGACACTAAAGGATCAAAGTACAAGTTTGAGAAAGTGACCAAATTTAGCAATTTAGAAGTCACAATAAGCGATAATGGTGAAGAGACAGAAGAAATAGAAGAACGAATAGCCAAAGGAATAAAATGTACAGGAGAAATGCTTCATCTCCTTAGATCCAAGAATTTGTCAAAAAAACCTAAAGAAGAGAATCTATAAAACGATAATCAAGCCAGTAGTCACTTACGGAAGCGAGGTATGGAAATTAAACAAAAAAGAAAAAACTTATTGGAAATATTTGAACGAAAAGTACTTACAAAGATATGTGGTGGAAATAAAGTAAATAATGTATGACAAAGAAGAACAAACGCTAAAATAAATTAATTATATAGAGAATCATCTATAACAAATGTAGCCAGGGCACAGCGAATAAGGTGGTTAGGACACGTAGCGAGACTAGCAGATGAAAGACCAACAAAGCAAGTATTAAAAGGAGAAATAACCAGGAGGAGGAGAAGAAGGGGGCGACCACGGACTAAATGGTTACAGATGGTAGAAAGAGACCTAAACGAGATGGAGATAAGGAAACAAAAAAGAATGGAAGAAAATGGGCTAAGAAACCATGGGCCTTCTAGGCCCGTAGTGCTGTACTGTAATGTAAAAGATCTTTACATAAAAACATATCACATTTTTCCATTCCTTATCAAGTAAACGTTGGTACGTTGATAGAGTTTTATGGGACAAAAAAAATGTATCAAAATTATCACTAATATTAATCAATAGGCATAGAAATTTTTACAAAACCACCTTTCCCAAGATAATACACTCATTAACCAACAGAAATGATGAACAGATGGTTAGTGGGTGGATACATAACATGCTCTCAAACCGAGCGGTAAACATAAGCGTAGAAAATGTGAATATAAGAGGCTTGGTTGCGATGGAATGTTCACAGAGACGGGTGCTATAATCTCTACTGTGGAACATGGTCCTTGACACCCTCATCAGCTGCCTCAATATTTGCAGTCACTACACAATAGCGTATGCAGCTGACCTAGTCATTCTACAAACAGAAAGTTTAAAGAACATACTTTACTAAAGAATGCACGTAGTTCTTAAAATTATAGAACAGTAGTGCGAGAAACATTTACTGTCTATCAACTCCAAGAAGACATAAATGGTCCTTTCCATAAGAAAAATATGAAAATGGAATTTAAATCTCCAGAGCTCCTAAACGTAAAACTAAACTTTGCAACAAAGGTGAAGTACCTTTCACCTTTAACAGCAAGTTAATATGGAATTTACACTTAGAAAACAGTGTCAAAAGAACATACAGTGCTTATGAAGAATGCCGCCAAATCGTGTGGCGCACCTGGGAGTTTCTTCTCCACTTACACTGCTAATATTCGGTGCAGTTGTCTTGGTATCGAAAACCCAACGATTGACAGCTAGAACAAATTCAAAGAACAGAGCAAGTCTCAACATAACAGGAGCCATGAACACCACACCAATCAAAACCATGGAAGAAATAATTAGTCTCACTCTCCTTGATATGTACATCAAGGAGGTTGCTCTGATGACAAATAGACGACTCCGCACAGTTGGAATAGAACCTGGTGAGGCGAGACGTCGCTTTTGACAGGAGGCGCTCAATACCCTTTCACCGGTTCAAACGGACATGGACTCCATCTCACCAAGATATACCTTCCATAAATATAAAGTTAGAACCGAACAAATAGAAGAGCCGAAAGTGGCAGGTACGATTCCAAAACAAAACAAGGTTAAGGATGTGAAATATACTATAGATCCCTGCAATAATACCAGTGTAGTTTACACCAAGCTAATGGGGATTATCATAGCAGCAAAAGAGGAAACCATAAACAATATCACTGAAAGAAACATGCTTATCTATACAGATAGCAGACAAGTACTACTAACCCTGGAAAGACCACGAATTTACTCAGAGTTAATACTAGAATGTCACGAAGCTTTGGCAGAAATATCCATCAACAATGTGGTTACCTTAAGATATATCAAAGGTTACGCCACGTTGAAAGGTAAAAGTCTTGCTGATTCACTAGCTAAGAAGGCAGCCAATCAAATATTTTTTGGAACTATCCCTTCTATTGGACTGACAACATTGGTAGTGACATACCTAATTAAAGAACATTCCCTCATGAAATTCAAGGAAAGATGGGAGGAGACAAGAAACTGCAGAGGTGCCAGGGAGCTTTTAAGTATTCCTGACAACACCACAGGAAACTTGACTATAACTAGACAGAATCTGC